AGCTGATGAATTTGGTTCTGTAGCTGAATAGTGACTCGGCGCAAAAATTTAAAATAATGGGCGGGAATGGGATTATTATTAATAAAAAAATAATAGTTCAGCAATGGGATAGTTTGAAACTTTATTTTATTTCCGGCTTTTACGAAGTAAACGGTATGCGATCTGCAGACCTGGCAGAAGGAATGGGTTGCAAAACCAAATGCTATTTTTTATTTCTATCGCTAATTTTTCCCATAATTAACAATTTTAACAAAGAGTTCCAAGCTGAAAGCTCTCGTTTGCCATACTTATATGCAACTATCAAAGCACATTATCTCTTAATTTTGAGTAACTTTATTGAAAAAGATGTGATCAGTAACATATTAATGTTGATTTTAAAAATGAATATAATCATGTTAAATATCTGACATTTTTGTTGGAACGAAAGCTGAGATGTTTATGAAAAGTAATGTTCTGGAATCCTTGAAGTTAAAACCAATATATTAAAGTATTACATAGAGTTTTTGGACCAAATAAATTTAAGTTTTGATTTCAAGCGTGAAGATATAAAACTTTTACAAATAATGAGACCATCTGACGTAGTTTCTAACGAAGATTTACCAATTTGACCTCTTTTGTTTAAGTTTCCCCATATCAAAGATTGTGATCCTGATATAAAAACCACGCAGTGGAATTTACTGAGGCTAAGTAAGCTTGATATTTCCAGCGATCTGGATATTGATATATTTTGGGAAAAAGTTTATTCTATTAAAAATGGAATGAATGAAAATAGCTTCATGCATCCCGCCAATTTTGTGTTTACTAAAATTTCATTACCACATGGCACTGCGGCTGTAGAACGCAAATTTTCAACGCTTTCTTTGATAAAAACTAAACTAAGAAATAAACTTAAGATTGACAGTATCAATGGCATAATGTTATGCAAGGAACCTGTAAACAAAAATGATCCGCACTATGTGTGGTCAGCTGTTAAAAAATGGCATGTGTAATTAATTGATTTAAATTTACTTTTAAGAAATTAAACTTATTGGTACATAACATTTACATATGTCTATAATTCATTTATTTATTTCTTATATCATTCTTTTCTAAGTCGTACGGATTTCGTACCGATTCGCTTAAAATTTTTTTTTGTGGGCTCTATACATGAAATAAGCTACCACGTGTTCGAGAAAGTTTTTTCTTCGGAGATATGATCTGTAAAAGTTTGCATTTTTTCGTGATTCTGACTAATCATGTACTTCTTCAAATCGTTATATCTCGGGTTCTGCTGATCGTAGAGATCTCATCTTAACGTCATTTTAAAGCTAAGAAACGGGCTTGACATTTCTATATACAAGATGGTCAAGATTGTCCTAAAGCTAACTTAGCTATTAACAGTTGAACTTTATGAAGTTGATTTGCATAGTGAAGACCAGTAAATTAGGGATTTAAAATTATACCATCGTAGTCCTTGTTTAATTCTCGATAAAAAACGTGGTTCAAAAAAATTTTTATTTATATTTTTAAAATATTTTTCTTTATGACGAGATGGTTTATTTTTTGAGAATCAACAATTTTTTGTAATTTTTTTCGAAAACTTATGTTAAGATATATTCGGTAAGGTGTTAAACATCGGGTTTTTGCAAAAAGTAAAATTTTATTGCGCATTCCGATAGAATACTTATCCAGATATAATATTTGTCTGGCAAGATTTTTCTTTAAGGCGACAAACCACAGAAATGGGCGTGGCAATTGCAGGACTAAAATTAGCAAAACGCAGATTTTATTGCGGATTTCGGCAGAATATCGCTTCGTTAACAATATTTGTTCCCCAACTTTTTCAATGCATATAGATATTCTGGCGAAATCCACAATAAAGCTTAAATTTTTGAACTTTGGTTTTAATATAGCCACGCCCATTTCTAGAATATTCTTTGATTGAAAAACTTGTGGAGCAAATGTTATTAACGAAGCGATATTCTGCCGAAATCCGCAATAAAATCTGCGTTTTGCAAACTTTAGTCAAACAAGTGCCTCGCGCATTTTTAGGGGTTTGTCGCCTTAAAGAAAAATCCAGCCGTACAAATATTATACCTGGATAGGTATTCTATCCGATTTTTAAAAATTTAGTATCGTTGTAAGGCGATTAAACCCATTTTCTTCTGGTATGCATATTTGTATACTTCGTTTATAAAAACTTGAGAAAAAACTCTTAAAATTAAAAAAATACCTTTGTTTTTTAAAAAATATTTTAAACAAAAAAATTACAAACGGATCTTTAGGAAACTGCTATCGTTGTAAAGGATACCAGAAAACTTATACTTTCTTAAAACCAAAAAATTCTATTTATATACACAAAAAAAAAATTAGTTAACAACATTTTTTCCCTCTATATAAACTCCGGCCCCCTAGGTGAAAGGCTGGCTACGCCCTTGTAAGCAAAACAATTAAAGTATTTAAATCGTAGATCATACGGTCAAGTTTGTTCTTTTAGAGCGTAACATGGCTCCATAATAATGATTCCAGTATCTTCATTTATGTATGTATATTTAACTATCAATATCCAACATCATCTGCGAAAAAAATTCTCAAAAATCAACGGGAACTTATAGCCATTTAAAACTTGCACTTTGTGGTACTGAAATTGAGTGAGTTACAAAACTGCACACTCAAAATTTGGTGCCATTTGATGCAAAATGAACTATATTTCTATAAAAAATTAGCACAAAAATTTATTATGAAAAAGATAAAAACACTGTATTCTGGGTGTATATATTTACCGATATGTAAAAGTTTCAATATGTTTGGAAAGCACAACGCACCCTTTTCCAGTAGCACCAAAATCCATATACTAATTTCCAGGACACTACCACAAATACTTCAAGAGATATACGGTATGAAAAATTAGATATGTATGGGTGATGCCACTTAATATATCGACAGTCTACAGTAGGTGTCCAAAATTTCAAAAAATCGGTACAGCCGTTCGCGAGATCACCTCTTATAAAAAGGAGCTTCTCTTTATATAATTAGTGTAGGTAACACAGGGCGACTCCGATTTTGATGTGGCAAATGTTAAAGCTGATTTTGATAGGCTTTTTTGTGCTGGTTAAGAATCCGTAAGTATAAAGTTTCCATCAGCTCCAGATTTTGAGAAAAATGTGGTGAAAGTGTCAATAAATCGCGTTATTTGCAATATTTGGGAAGCTCTAGCAATGAAACAAAAGGTGATAGAACCTTCCACTTAGGCTTAAATTAAAGTACTATTCCTGCACCTTGCTCACCTATACTCATTTACTTTTTAACGTCCAACAATAAAAAAAATACTGGAAAATTATGCAATTGAAAACAAAAATGGTGTAAAAATCAGTGTTAGCTATTCAATAAATGACTATAGGGGACCTTAGGGTCAAGGTGCAGGAATTGTATTTTGAGGGATTGAAGTCAGAAGTCCAAGCCTTAATTTAAGCCTAAGTGGAAGGTTCTATCACCTTTTGCTTAATTGCGGTAGGTACTCCCAAAATCAGTTATTCCCGTTCAACAAATGACTATAAGTGACCATCAAGCAAAGGTGCAGGAATTTGCAGGATATGATCGAGATTTTTAGCTTTAATCAAAGCCTAAGTGGAAGGTTCTACCACCCATTGTTTCTTTGCTAGAGCTTCTCAAATATTGAAAAAAACGCGATTTTCTGACACTTTGACCTCGTTTTTTTTTAAATCTGGAGCTGATTGGAAACTTTATGCTTACGGATTCGTAATCAGCACACAAAAATTCGGCAAAAATAACGTTAACATTTGCTGCATCAAATGTTTTCCCATTTTTGTTGGCCTGTGTAATAAGTATTGTTAAATAGCCAATACCCGCATGTTTGCGCCGCCTTCAAACACCTTTCGAACTGTAAAGCATCGACACGATCCTATTCTACGCATATTTGTAATACGGGTATCGAATTTCAAGAAAATCAGACCATAAATAAGACTTTCGAAGAGATCGGTCCCTTGCCCACTTAACGAAAAAAATGGATCCTATATGCTAATCTAGGCGAAAGGCTACCAACGAACCAAATGCATTTTTTTTATCGTAGCTGGACTCCTGCGCCACCAATCGGAAAAATTAAAACTTTGTGCACTCCTAAACACCTTTCCAAAAAAGCAGCACCCAATCGAATCGGTTATGAAATATAGGAGAAAATTGTTCCCAATTGATTCATGCCCCCAATAAATTTCACAATTATCCGAAATTTTCCAAGCTTACGTCGAGTTTTCCACTTAGAATTTTCTATTTTTCCATTCGAATGCCATTCCGAAGGAATTGCACACAAAATTCCATACAACAAAATCAATTTTCGATTTTTCCAATTTCCCGACTTTCCCGGAGGGGTTTCCCAAAATTTTCTTTCGTAAAAACCTTCTCCTGGCAATTACGAATAACTAAAAAAAAAGTTTGCCAAATCGGCCCAACCGTTCTCAATTGATGAATTACTATACATTTTTCACACCATTTTTATGTATATAGATTGGCGGAAAAATATTAGAATAAAAATTGTTGCATATATTATGAACAATTTGCTATGCCAATACTTTGTTGCTTCAGTGTATAGATTAAGTAAGCTTTATATTTTTATCTAGCAGGCAACACGTTCATTTCGTAACCTGAATATTTGCGAATTTAAAAAATTTCCCAACTTCAAGCAAAGTTTTTTTATGAGGAGTGAGCTGGTCGGGCCAACTCGCAGCTGTGTTTCGTCTATGATATTTACGCACACTCAATTCCTGAGTACATAAGCTGCTTACTCAACATAGTCAAAATCCAGATTTTTAAAACTTGATTCGAGCGGGCGGAAACGAGCGTTCCTAAGGATTTAATTTTGCTTAAATTCTGTTCTTTGGGACCCTAAATAAGAGTCCCTCAAAATCATAATCTAAAATGGGTCCGCGACTTCAGGTAGACGATTTCATATGTAAAGATGCTTGGTCCAATACAATTTTTTTACCATTATATATATTTCGTTTCAGAAATCACCAGTTTACGCTACGGTTCTAGCTATGGTGTTCACCAATGTGGATTTATAGTACTTCAGTTGTCAATTCGAATAGCAATTGATTGCAATAACAACCACCCACATACATACACATGTTCTCTTGTAATAATGCCTTCAGCGAATACCGAAGAGTTGCGGCGAAAGTTTACTGTTGTTCAGCAACAGCGCTCAGTTCCGTCGAAATTCGCGTTAATGACCACCACCTCTGCTGTGTACGATCATTTAGACACAAACATCACCACATCAATGATGGTTCAGGCAACACCAATGATTCCTCTACAGGAACCCGAACATACCTACATATTTCCTGGAGCAATAAACCTTGCCGGTGGGCTTGGAGCAAGCGCTATCCATAGTATGGCACCGGGCATTCCTGGCGTTGCTGTTGTGTCTGCGCCATCACACAGCCTCAGCGTGGGAACGGATAGTCGCGGCCATATAAGGTCTGTGAGTCACGGAGGCGGTGCCATTATAGGGCCGAGAGGCCGTCCAATGAAATCAGCTATGAAAGGACATCAACGTGCTTTTTCACATGGCCAAATTACAGATTCACCAGGCGCTCCTGGAGCCTCACGAGGCCATAGTCGCGTTGGTTCAAAAACTGATTTTATCCTACCACCTGGTCACAAAGAGGAAGTAGAAAGTCGGGAGTTTGGGCCATCTGTTGCATCTTCAGGGGGTGGGCGTGGTCATTCGAGGCAGGCATCGCGTTCAGAATCTATATACACTTTGCGTCGCTCTGAAACACCACCTTGGTGGAAGCGGATAGCTGTATGTCATACTGAGAAACTCGAAGAGCGAAGCTATCGTGTCCTCGTACCAAATCACACAGTTCCACCAAAGACTCCCAAGCGGGCTCATCCGAATGAAGATTTTGTGGGCAATAAAATACGCACGACAAAGTACACACTGCTGTCCTTCGTACCAAAAAATTTACTTGAACAATTCCATCGTGTTGCGAATTTGTATTTTATTTTTATCGTTCTGCTGAATTGGTTTCCAGCGATAAATGCGTTTGGCAAAGAAGTTGCCATGATACCTGTTCTCTTTGTGCTCGGTGTGACCGCAGTTAAGGACTTATTTGAAGACAGACGACGTCGTTACTCCGACAAGCGAATCAACAACACGACATGTCGTATTTATGACGGGTAAGTTATCAATTCATACTTTTCTGTACACATCTGAACGGTGTCGGTTTTTTCGGCACTAATAAGACTGTAACGAAAAAAGTGGTCGCAGGTTGCAATTGTTTTTGCCTTAAATGTAACGGAATAAAATCAAACAAGTGTATGCAGCGCTAGAACAGTCTTCATTTTACATGATTGAGCCATTGGTAGAAACAAGAAGGTAATTTCACTAATTTTGTCAGCCATATTAACTATCTGACATAAATGCCTTTTTCGACTTCTGCTTTATAATTGTGCTACCAGTTTCATTCCTTTAAACCACAGTCAGATTCAACGCTGCACTGAAAAACGGGCAGTTCCAAATGCAAAAAAGTAAAATGATGTTTTTAATATGCATGTATGTACATTACACCAGACATGGGCACATTTGCCCGTACGGCAAGCGAGCCCATTTCGCGGGCTAGACCAGGGGGAAATCACGGGCAACATGAAGAGGGCCAGTGTTGCCAGAACTTTTTGAGCCAACCGGCTATATTGGCAAAAAAGCGGTTAAAGAGGGCTAAAATGTTTCAACTAAAATTCACATGTTTATTTAAAAAAATCGCAAGTAGAAAGACTTGTAAACTCATTAATTTTTTTTGGTTAAAGATTATACGTGGCTAAGCTTTACACCACTCGTTAAATAAATCACAAAAACAGACTGGTAAATTTATTACAAATTATTTTTGTTTAACAAAAGAAACTGTCGTTATACGTACATTAGAAGTCATGTTTGTATACTTGAATATAAAAAAAAATTTATCAATTACATACTTATGGCGTTTTCTTTTTTTTTGAAAAATGTTGCCTTACATTGTAACATTTGTACTAGGTTACTTTTCGTCCTGAATGGCTATACTAGCATAAAGTATTTTGCTTAGGCTGAGGGCGATATTTTGAGAAATGAACACATGAAGCTGTGTGTGAAACGGCTGAAGAAAACAGGCCAAGATTATTTCGAGAAAAGAAAATGCCATTAATTTCTGTGTTCGTATGGAAAAGTAGCTTATGTCGAAAGGCTGGCTTTAGTATAAATCGGCATTCACAGCATACGATTGCGAGTTACTCCGTGGCGTTGAACCGTTGAACAACCGTTGGCATATAAACGTGCAAGAAATAGTTCCGATACTAGCAAGAAAATAT